TCCCACCTCTGTACCTTTTCATATACACAAAAACCTCATGCCCCTAATGCTCTCTCTCCTCACCTCTGCCTCTTGGAACACCCAGAACATTTCAAGGCCTAAACAAGTTCTGTCTCCTTCAAGAGACCTTTACTGATTGATTCTCCCAGTTCATAGAATCATAGATTTTGACCTGGAAAGTATCCTAGAAGTCATTTTATCCAAAATAATCCACTTTTAAAGCTAGGTCATTCAGCTTTTATGTTCCCTGATGTGTTTTTTTTCTCATTTTTTTCTCAGCTCCTCAGAACTGACATCTTCATGGATGCTGCTTTCAGCATAAATCCTGCTATTGACATGGGGCAGGTATGTAACAACCAATACCACATCACCTGTATGAAACTTCTTTTTTAGTGCCTGGTACATAGTCAGTGTTTAATAATTGATTCACCTGAAGATGTACAAAATCATTTTAAGCTTTAACAGCATAAAATTGCACTAAAACTTTTGGGACATCCTATATTTGATCCTGGAGGTAATAGGGAAGTACCAGAGTTTACTTGATAGGGAGGTGACATGATCAGATCTTTGCTTTAGGAAAATCATTTTGAAGTTAAGTGGAGGATGGATTACAGTGAAAAGAGACCTGAGGCAAAGGCATGAGTTAGACTGACTGCAATAGTCTATCCAAAAGGTGATGAGGGCTTGAACTAAAGGTAATTTTCACAATTATCATGGCTACTTACTGAATTTTTTTCTCTATTTTTCAGAAAAATGCTAGCAAATAAGAGAAAGCACTGGCTAGTACTAAGCTCTCCTTTTCAAAATAATTTATGAAAAGGATAAAAAAAAATCCCAAGATGCTGTCTTGGTACAGTATCTAATAAACAATATTCTATCAGTGTGTTTTAAAATAAGTTTATTTTATAGCACTCCAAATGATTAAGAAGGCCCACTATTTTTGACTCAGGCTTGATTAAGAACTCACTTTCACACTAAAACATTAAAATTTAGTATATTTCACCTTTCATAAACCATGTACTTTTTTTGAATGTAGATTGAAGGTGGGTTTATCCAAGGCATGGGATTGTATACAACTGAAGAACTGAAATATTCCCCAGAAGGTGTTCTTTACTCTAGGGGCCCAGAAGATTATAAAATCCCTATAGTCACTGAAATCCCAGAAGAGTTCTATGTCACCTTTGTGCGTTCCCAAAACCCAATAGCCATCTACTCATCCAAGGTAAGGATACTCACTAAGAATTTCATTCTGTTTTTCACAATTATCATCCAAAAAAGGAAAGCAGAAAAATCATAGGTCTTGATCCATTTAACAAGCTGTGAGATGTTACTGGGTCCTTTGAACTCAGACTCAATCTGCAAAATAGACTGTGGAGTAGCTCTGAAAAGTTTTTTTTCCCCTGACTTTAACATTCTATGCTTTTACTATTCTAAGGTTAGTGCATAATTATGTCTTTAAAATTCTGCTGCAAAGATTGCATTTTTCATTGCATCATTTTTTTCTGGTGTTTTTGAGGAGGAGGGTTAATATCTTTTACACTTCTACAAAAGGTGGAATGAGAGTGATAAGCTGCCCTGACATTCTGTCTAGTGGCCTGGCATCTTAATATGTACAGTATAACACTTCATAGATTTATTGGATCTGCTTTATGAAGATTGTCCTTGTTGTTTAGAGGTGAAATGGAATTCTTACCATTTAGCAGATTCTCAGTAGTTGTTAGTGAGACAGAATGTGTGCCAGAAATAAATGAAGAATGCCCTTTTGATTCCTTCCTCCTCTCCTGTTAGGGACTAGGGGAAGCTGGAATGTTCATGGGATCATCTGTGTTTTTTGCTATTACTGATGCTGTGGCTGCAGCACGCAGGGAGAGAGGACTGACAGAGCCCTTCACTTTGAATAGCCCAGCAACTCCAGAGATGATTAGAATGGCATGTGTGGATCAGTTTACTGAACAGGTACGGAGGGTTGGGAGGGATTAATTGTTCTTTGATAAATTCCATGGGTTTTCAGAACCTTGGTCTTTCTCATTTATTAATTAGATTTAAGCATGTCGAATTACACCACAGATCAGATTTCCCAAATTGTACTGAAAATTTTTTATTTTCATCTTTTTTCCCCAGTGTTGACTTCGATTCACACCAACCAAAAGAGCCAAACAAAACTCAATAAATAGTACTTTAGTTGTCTCAAACTCAGACCTGAGTTTGCTCAGTGGAGATAATGCTGGTAGTTTTATTTTTCTTTTAGTCTTTCTTTACAATTTAGATGCTTGGGTAGAGACACAGATTTCTCACAAAAGTATATCATGAGAGATGTTCCATATACAAAGGAGACTCAGACCATTCCATGTGGGTTTTCTTCCTCCCTAAAACAACTGTGCCCCTCAACATGCTGCTATGGCAGTCTTCCTAGCTTTGCTGCTCCCAGTCCCCCTGGACTCAGCCCTTCTAGCTGCTGGACTGTTGTGCACTCTTTGTAGTGTCCCTACCTCTTTCTCAGAACACAAGGACTGATTGGGCCTTAATTATTTCTATGGTATTTGTGGGTTCAATGAATAGCTAGATTGGCTATTCATATGTCTTGGCATTTATACCCTTATGAAATGCAAAAAAAAATCTTCTACCTGTTCCCTTGGTAAGCTTCTAACTCAGTGACTCAGTCAGACTACTCTAACCTCCCCTCTGGTTACCACTTTTGAAGAAACAAACCCAAATAGGAAGGGAACCAGATCTCACAGCTCTACGTGTGGTTTTCCCAATTTTTACTACTTCACACATTTATTACTTCACAAATTTTATTACTTCACAGACAGAAAGGGTATTCACCTAAGCAATGCCACCAAAAAAGTTTGTCTTACCAAAAGAGAAATTTGGCTACCTACTGTGCTTATCCATCGATATGTACATCTGTGACAGTACATACGTATGCCTGATTTGGAGAGAGGAACAGAGAAAGAGAGATAAACAGAGAGATAGAATGAAAGAAACGGAATGGAAGAAAATAAGAGAGAGAGAGAGACAGAGACAGGGAGAGAGACACAGAGAGACAGAGAGATAGAAAGAGAGACAGAAATAGAGACAGAGAGAGAAGGAGGAAGAGTGATAAAAAGACAGAAAAAGAAAGAAGAGAGAAGATGGAGTGCTGTGCTAAAGTCTGGGAATACAAAGATAAATAAACAAAACAGCTCTCAACAATAAATAGCTTACATTTTAAAGGGGAAGGCAACACAGAAAGGAACTGGAAAGTGGGAAGGGAGAAAGTATGTTTACAAGAGCAAAGACTTTTCTAAATACTCAGAAGTCCTATCTTTTATTTTATTTTTTTTCTTTATGGTAATATTTATTTAATTTTTTTGTTTTCAACCTTTTACTTCCACAAGATTTTGAGTTCCAAATTTTCACCCCATCTCACCCCTCCCCCCACCCCAAGATGGCATGCATTCTGAATACCCCTTCCCCTAGTCTGCCTTCCCTTCAGTCTCTCCCCCACTTCTTTTATCCCTTTCCCCTTCAATTTTCCTGTAGAGCAGGATGGATTTCTATACCCCATTTCCTGTATTTCTTATTTCCCAGTTGCATGCAAAAACATTTTTTTTAAACATGTGTTTTTAAAACTTTAGGTTCCAAATTTTCTCCCTCCCTCCCTCCCCACCCATCATTATTGATAAGGCAAGCAACTAAATATAGGTTATATAGGTGCAGTTATGCAAAACACTTCCATAGTAGACATGCTGTGAAAAACTAACTCTATTTCCCTTAATCCTATCCTGCCCACCCATTTATTCTATTCGTTCTTTTGACTGTGTCCCTCCTCAGAAGTATTTGCTTTTGATTACTCCCTTTCCCAATCTGCCCTCCTCTCTATCATTCCCCTACTCTCTTATCTCCTTCATCCCCTATTTTCCTGTAGGGTAAGACAGATTTTCACACCCAATTGATTGTATATGTTATTCCCTCCTTAAGTCAAATCCTAGGAGGATAAGATTCACTCATTCCCTCTCACCTTCCCCTGTTTCCCCTCCACTGTAAGAGCCTTTTCTTTTCTGTTTTTTTTTTTGTGGGATAATTTACCCCATTATACCTTTCCCTTTCTCCTTCTCCTAGTATATTCCTCTCTCACCTCTTAATTTTATCCTCCAGATATCACCCCTTCATTTTCAACTCATCCTGTGCCTTCTATCTATCTATCTATATCTATATATATGTACATGTAATTTTTTTCTCCAACTACCTTAATACTGACAAAGGTCTCATGAGTTACAAATATCATCTTTCCATGTAGCAATGTAAACAGTTCAACCTCAATAAGCCTCTTATGATTTTCTCTTTCCTGTTTACCTCTTCATGTTCCACTAGAGTCTTGTATTTGAAAATCAAGTTTTCTATTCAACTCTGGTCTTTTCATCAAGAATACTTGAAAGTCCTCTATTTCACTGAATGACCATTTTTCCCCTGAAGGATTATACTCAGTTTTGCTGGGTAGGTGATTCTTGGTTGTAATCCTATCTCCTTTGCCCTGCAGAATATTATATTCCATGCCCTGTGGTGCGTTAATGTAGAAGCAGCTAAATCTTGTGTTATCCTGATGGTGTTTCCACAATACTTGAATTGTTTCTTTCTGCTGCTTGTAATATTTTCTCCTTCACCTGGGAGCTCTGGAATTTGGTGACAATATTCCTAGGAGTTTTCCTTTGGGGATCTCTTTCAGGTGGTGACTGGTGGGTTCTTTCAATTTCAATTTTGCTCTCTGGTTCTAAAATATCAGGGCAGTTTTCCTGGATAATTTCTTGAAAGATGATGTCTAGTCTCTTTTTTGATCATGGATTTTAGATAGTCCAATAATTTTTAAATTGTCTCTCCTGGATCTATTTTCCAGGTCAGTTGTTTTGCCAATGAGATATTTCACATTGTTTTCTAATTTTTCATTCTTTTGGATTTGTTTTACAGTGTCTTGATTTCTCATAAAGTCACTAGCTTCCAATTGCTCTGTTCTAATTTTTAAGGAAGTATTTTCTTCAGTAATCCTTTGGACTTCCTTTTCCATTTGGCCAATTTTGCTTTTTAGGGCATTCCTCTCCTCATTGGCTTTTTGGACCTCTTTTGCCATTTTGTTTAGGCTATTTTTTAAGTTGTTATTTTCTTCAGTATTTTTTTGGTGGTCTCCTTTAACAAGCTGTTGACTTGTTTTTCATGATTTTCTTGCATCACTCTCAGTTTTTCCTCTACTTGTCTCACTTGCTTATCAAAATCCCTTTTGAGCTCTTTCAAGGCCTGAGACTGATTCATATTTTTCTTGGAGGCTTTGGATGTAGGAGCTTTGGTTTTGTTGTCTTCTTCTGGTTGTATGTTTTGATCTTCTTTGTCACCAAAGTAAGATTCTATAGTCTGACTCTTTTTGCACTGCTTGCTCATGATCCTGGCCAATTACTTGAGTTTTAAACTCTTTGTTAAGGTAAAAGTCTGCTTCCAATGTGAAGAGTGTACTGTGCCAAGCTTCGGGGGTTTGTACAGCTATTTTCAGAGGTACTTCTAGGGACCTGAAAATTTTCAGTTCTTCCAAGGTACTATGATAAGGAGTGGGGTGTTTACTCTCCACAGCCACAACAAGCTTCACCATACCAGTGTTACTCCTAGCCCCAGGACCGCTCCTCAGAACTGTGACCCAGATCCAAGCATGGGCAATGCAAGAGATTCCTGCCCAGCAATCCCCCTCTGATCACCCACTGGAATCTCCCTCCGTCTGTGGGCCAGAAGCTCAGGAAACAGTCGCTGCTTCAGGTCGCATTCGAGACTTGCGGCTGAGACCTAGCTCCTCTCTCACCGCAGTCACAGACTTTTCCCACTGACCTTCCATGTTGTCTTTGGCATTCCTGGGTTGAGAAGTCTGGAAACCACCACAGCTGTCCATGATACAGGCCTGTGAAGCCTGCTCCAGGGTTGCTGTGGCCTGCGCACCCACACCAAACTGAGCTCCTCTCCTCGCCTGGCACAATACACCTTTCCAATCAACCATCCAGGCTGTCTTTGGCTGGAAATTTGTTTCACTCTGTCTTTTTGTGTGTTTTGCTGCTTTAGAATTTGTTTAGAGCCATTTTTTTAGGTATTTGGAGGGCTTTGGGAGAGAGCTCAAGACAGTCACTGCTTTCCCTCTGCCATCTTGGCTCCACCTCCCCAGTCTTATCTTTTAATACCACTATTCTGTCATGCTTGCATGCCTGTGAAACATGGCACGTATAAATCTCCAAGGAATTGAAAATCAATATGGCAGTGGAGTGGCCTAGGTTGATGTGAGCAGGCTGCAACATATGACCAATGAAGAGTTTTGAAGAACAGACGTAAAAGATATCATTGGGGAAATATGCGATAGGAAGAGAAAATGAGCTGGCCATGTGAGAAGGGAGAAAAAGGGGAGGTGGACAGCCCTAATATTCTACTGGTTTTTCTTGATGTCAGGAGAATGTGAGGAAGGACACCCAGTACACTGAATGGATCCTCTGTGGTGAACCCATAGGAAGACATGAATAAGAGTTCCACAAAATGGGCAAGAATGAATGGGTTTTAATTGATTTGAAAAATTAATCTTATGCTCTTATTTTCCTTTTGACCTTCCTTTCAGATTCCCAGAGATGACTCTTCAACTTTCAAGCCTTGGTCCATCCATGTTTCCTAAAATGTGAAAGAATAGAAAAGGGTAATATCTAAGATTGATTTTACAATCAAACCAAAATGTACTTTGGCTTCTAAACTTTAAGACTACTCTTAACATTATGCTTAAAATCTCTCATCATTGTGTTTAGGAACAAAAGTCCACTAAAGTCCCAAAAAGAAAAAAAAGAAGCAGTCATGCAAACATTGAGTACACTCCTTGATACTACCCATCTATGTGACATGAACTAGAGAATAAGCACTTGCCTTCTGGCTCCAGTTGATCAGAATTCTTCAACATACAGTCCCTGAAAGCCAAATTCAAAAGACATCAGTAAATGATGAGCTCCAAAGTAGCATCTGCTTGAGTCTCTCATCTTTATAGCAATGCTATCTAGTCTGGGACCACCAGCACCCAGGACTATAAATCAGTATCCCAGTTCCATAGATTCAACCAGATCTATCTGTTTTCTCTTTTTTGCATTCATTGCCTCTCTTATAATTTTGTAATAACCTCCTAATTGACTTTCCCTCATCAAATCTCTCCCCAGCTTTTAATCCTTTCATAAAACTACCTGAATAATCTTTTCTATATACTTGTCTAAACATATCATGCCTTTTCCATTTGAAATCCTCTATTGTCTCCTGAAACCCTGCTACATCCTGAATAAAGTACATATTCTTTCGTCTGACATTCAAAGCTTACCACAAGTGGGTACCTCCCTACACTTCCAATAGCATCTCATATCACTTTCCTCAACACAGCAGTCAAGCTAGGCTATTAAGTTTTCCTTTTATATATTAATTCAATTAAATAATCATTTATTAATACCTACTAAGTACAAATCATTGTATTAGATATTGGGGATATAAAGACAAATATGTAAAAGCACTTGTCCTGAAGGAGTGCACTTTCTATATATGAACACCTACGCGAATATTGTAAGGCTTATATGTCAGGGAGGTCACTGATAGGAATCACCTCCCCATATAAATATTTATGGTAGCACTTTATTTGACAGCAGGGAATTGAAAACAAAGTACATATTTATTGACTGGGGAATAGCTAAACAAATTGGGGTACATGAATATAATGGCACCTTACTGTGTGAAAGAAAATGATAACATGATGAATATAAAGAAACATGGGAAAATCTACAAAGGCTGATGAGAAATGAAGCAAGCAGAGCAAAAAACACACACACACACAAACACACACACATATTCATAATAACAACAATGTAAAGAGGAAGAACAACCACAAAAAATCAATGTTGCAAAATTATAAATTAGTATGACTCTAAATAAGTCATGGGAAATGACACCCCCTCTCCCACATGTTTGTAGAGGTGAGAGGTCCGTGATTGTGGTACATTCACATGTTTTCAGACTTTTTAATATATTGATTAGTTTTGCTGATTTTTTTCCTCCTTTCTCTTCTTTTATCTTAAAATATTGTTGTATGGGATGGCTCTCTGGGAAGGTGCAAGGTGAAAGATGATGGGGTAAATTTGGTGATGTAAAAAAGACAATACAATTTTTTAAAAATTAGTATTTGAAAGTCAGTAGTATTTAAGAATTTTTAGGCTTGTCCTTTTATTGCTGAAGTAAATTCCATTAATAATTCTCTAGACTTCACCACTCTGTTAGATGCCTTCTTACACTGGAAGATGTCTCCATCTCTGTAGCCCTCTTCTTTTGGTGATGAGCTACTGTTAGAACCTGCATTTTGAGGAAATCTCCAGGCCAGTTACCCTTCATGCCCTTCCCAGTTCTGCTTCTGACTCTGGACTTTGCCACCATGTCATTATGGTGATGCCTTCTCCTCCTTCACCTTCCTTTTTTGTATTGTCTTTTCACATTAAAATGTAATTTCTTAAAGGACAAGGATTGTTTTTCTTTTCTTTATATTTGTAATCCCAGCACCTAGCACAGTGCCCGGCACATAGTAAACTCTTAATAAAAATGCTTATTGACTAGGAACAATAAGTTTAAATTGCAAAGAGGAAGATATGAACTCGTCTAAGACTTACTAATAATAAGAGTGGTCTTTAGAAAACATTTTGAAGTAGAAATGGGAACCCAGTATAAGAAATTGTCAAGTAGTAGATGGATGAACACTTATTAGGGATATTTTAGAGGAAAGTCCTATGTGGTCTGTTGAACTCAGTGACTTCCAAGGTTCTCTTGATTCCATGATTCCATATTTTCTGATAAATCAGTTTTCATGTTGGTCATTTGTGGAGTAGAGTGGAGTAGAGTGGTGATGGTGGCTGGTATTTTCTTATAGCTACTTTATTGAAATGACTTTTAAGTATGAGTTAAGAGGAATAGGTATGTGTTATTTTAGGTAAGAGTAGGAAGCTGTTTATGAAATATGGAGAAAATCTTTCCCTTCCCTTTGCTATTATAAATAGCAGTAAGTTTTTTTTGGAATCTCAGTGGTACTAATTCTTGCTCTGAGGGATAATTTTCATTGTGTTTTTAATGAACTCTATAGATATACATAAGACTATAATGTAATAACATTTTACCAATAGAGATTCATTTCTATAGCTCTTATGATCCTGAAACCTAATAAAGTATAAGTCATGATAACTACAGCCCCTAACATGTGTCATGATAACTATAGCCCTAATTAGGTTAGCTCTTTCCTCCACATTACCCTGGTTTTGACCTGAACCTGAATATTGCAGGAATTAGAAAAAAGGAAGTTGAGTGGAAGTAATTAGAAGTATAAAGAAATAAGATTATTGTTAATTGGCAAGGTAAACAGGGTTTAAAAAATCAGGGTTTTGACAATCACATCTGATATTAACACATGAGATAGAGCTCCCTTGACCAGGGAGCTATGCTGGAGAAATGCACAAAGAGTAGAATTTTCTTGGTGGAACACCTCTGTCCCCTCTCTTCATATCTGATTTGGGTTCATTCATAGGTCAGATGTCAGTTTAAGATCTACTGGAGGGTGGGACATTCTGCCAGAAACCAGAGCCAATATGCCTTCAGCTCTTGGTACCTCTGGTCATAGATTTCAGTGAAATGAACTGAACCCTTTCTCACAGATATTTTGAAAATAGAGAACAGGGAGAATTTGTATAAAAAGAATTTGCCTTACTTGATCATTAGTGTTGAACACGTAGGATCAGAAAGAGAGAGATAAAATGGTGCTACATACATGGTACATCTGGAAAAAAATGAAGATGTGAACTTGACTGTTAACATGAAATCTTCTTATCATGAAGATGACTGACCCAATGTAAACAACATACTGCAACTAGTGTTTCTTAATTAAGCTTTTTAAATTTTGATTTCTTGAAGTAAATGAATTCTAGACAATAATGGGAGGACAGTTCTCTTTTTGTTCCATTTGAGGTTGGAAAGTAAATAAGAATGTTAATAGCAAAAGCAAAACAAGATATATATTTTGGAGATTTTCCCCTGAATTTTGGATAGGGGCATAATAAGCCACGAATTTATGAAAATTATATCACAATTAGTTATTTTTTCTTTTTAATTTATGGAATAAAATAAGCAATTCCATAACATAGTATAATAAACATGTTATTACACATGAAACTGCAAATCTATTATGTACAACTTGCTATTCCTTAAAAATAGCTAATTAAGTTATCCTGTCAAATTTCTTTTTTTAACTTTTTTTCTTCCCTCCCCCACCCTAGAGATGGCTACCATTAGACACAAATAGGTATATAATACATATATGTATGTATGTATGTATGTGTATACATACACATTTTAAAATTATAAAATTATATAAAATTTACAATAATTTACATACATATATGTATATATGTAAAATTATATATATACTTCTATTTATCAGTTCTTTCTCTAGGTGCAGATATGGCCTTTCTTCATAAGTCTTTTATAGTTAATTTGGGTAATTATAATAGTCAAAATACCTAATTTGCTCAAACTAATTACTAAATAGTATTTCTGCTACTGTATACAATGTTTTCATGGTTCAGCTCATTTTGCTTTTCGTTATTTTGGACAAGTCTTTCTATGTCTTTCTAAAATCATTGGGTTCATCATTTCTTATAACATGGTAGTATTCTGTCACAATCATATACCACAATTTGTCCAACCATTTCCCAATTGATGGGCATCCCTGCAATTTCCAGTTCTTTGTCACCACAAAGGGAGCTGCTATAAATATGTAAGAACATATAGATTCTTTTCCCTTTTCCCTAATCATCTTTGGAAATAGACCAAGTATTGATATTGCTGGGTCAAAGGATATAGGCATTTTAATAACTCCTTGGGTATAATTCCATATTGCTCCCCAAAATGGTTGGATTAATTCACAATTTCACCAACAATGAGTTAGTGTCCCAATTTTTCCACATCTCCTCCAACATTTGTCACTTTCTGCTTTAATCATTTTAGACAATCTGATAGATATAAAATAATATCTCAAGATTGTTTTAATTTGCATTTCTCTATTCAATAGTGATTTAGAGCATTTCTCATATGGCTATAAATTATTTTGATTTCTTTTTTGGAAAACTGCTTATCCTTTGACCATCAATTGGAGAGTAATGCATATCTTTATATATTTGACAAAGTTATTTATATATTTGAGATGAGATCTTTATCTGAGAAACTGTCTATAAAATCCCCCCTCCCAATTTTTTACTTTCCTTCTCATTTTGGATATATTTGTTTTATTTGTACAAATACTTTTGATTTAATACAATCAAAATAATCTATTTTATACCTAACTTTGCTTTCTATCTTGTTTATTCACAAATCCTTCACCTATTCACAAGTCTGGTAAATAATATGTTCCATGTTCTTCTAATTTTCTTGTAATATCTATCTTTATGTCTAGGTAATTAATCCATTTTGTCCTTATCTTGGTAAATGGTGTAAGGTATTGGTCTCTGCCTAGTTTTGCCATATTGCTTTCCAGTTTTCCCAACAATTTTTACCAAATAATGAATCTTGATCCCTGATCTTAAGTTTTTACACTTGTCAAATACAAAGTTATTATATTTATTGTCTTCCATAAATTGTATGTCTACACTGTTACATTGATCTACTTCTCTATTTCTTAGTCAGAACCACATAGTTTTGATAATTACTGCCTTAAAGTTTAAGATCTGGTACTGCTACACCTCCTTCATTTTCATTTTTTTTTGCACGAGTTCCTTTGATTTTCTTGACATTTTGTTCTCCAAATCAGAATTACCTTACATTTTTAGCATTAGACTGAACCCACAGGAACTTAGATCAAGGTAGAGCTACTTCAACACCCAGGAAAGCTTCCTAAATTTTATTCAATTACAACATTAGCCTTAATATATAACTGATTCTTATTCATCTAAATGTGGGAACAAGAATAAGTGCCATTTCTACTTTAGAGGTGGAATAATTCTCTGCTCAATTATCATTGAACCTCAGGGTTCAACCAATCCTCAGTACTTCATTTTAGCAAGGAGCAATTGGTCAGCTTGTTTCTAGTACTGTCAACAATCTGAAATAGAGATAATAGACAATGGCCTATGGCATAGGTAAATTTTGGAGGGAAGACATGATTTGATGGAAGGCTATCGTGAGGGGTGCATTACATCAGCATGTTCTATTGGGGAAGAACCTTGATGACATACATTGTTGAGAGTTGGGTAGGAGAAGCAGTCAAGTTAGGAAGCAAAATTGGCAAGGAAAAATACAGCTTTCCCAAATTTCCAATTTCATTCACATGTGACATGCTTCCAGAGGAATAAAACATTAGCATGAAGAAGCAGAAAACTTATTTAAGATTTCAGTGACTTTTAATTGTGCTACTTGCACCAGGAGACTCTCCAGTCATTCCTGATTTTCCTCAGTACATCCTTCACATCCTTATTCCTCAGACTATAGATCCAGGGGTTTAGCATGGGGATAACTGTCGTATAGATCACTGAGGACACTTTCTGTTGAGTAATGTTGCTAGTTGATGCAGGCTGACAGTACATAAAAATGATGGAGCCATACAAGAGAGCTACAGATGCCAAGTGGGATCCACAGGTACTGAAAGCTTTGGACCTGCCCTTAGCAGAATGGATCCTGAAGATGCTGGAGAGAATTAAAGCATAAGAGATCAATATAGATATAGTGGTTACCAATGAGTTGATCACAACCAGAAGCATCACCAAAAGCTCATTGATGTAGATGCTAGAGCAGGAGAGGTTCAAAAGGGGAGGAATGTCACAAAAATAATGACTAATAATATTGTTTCCACAGAAGGACAGTTTGGCTAGACCACTTGTATGAGTAATGGCTCCAAAGATCCCCATAGTATACACTCCTATCACTAACAGGAAGCAGATATTCTGGGACATGACACTGTTATAGATTAAGGGGCTACAGATGGCGACATAACGATCATAGGCCATGGCTGTCAACATGTAGCAGTCAGCAATACCAAAAGTACAGAAGAAAAAGAACTGAGTCAAGCACCCTGAGTAAGAGATAATGTTCTTCTCTGACACAAAGCTCACCAACATTTTGGGGGTAATGACAGAGGAATAGCAAAGATCAATAAAGGACAAGTTACTAAGAAAATAGTACATGGGGGTATGAAGCTGAGAACTGATCCTGATAAGTAGGAGTAAACCCACATTCCCCATCATGGAGATAATGTATATTTGTAGGAAGAGTAAGAAGAGAGGGAGTTGCAGTTCTGGCTGGTCTGTTAATCCCATAAGGATAAAGTCTGTCACCATGGAATGATTCCCTGTATCCATTGTCCTTTGAAATTTCAGGTGGGAATCTGTGGAGATGGGGGAAAATAGTGTTATTAGACAAAGATGACTATTTCCCAAAGTCTGCTGACCTGAGATCTCATGAATGATATATTTTTACCTCAACAGCAGCAGTAGACACAAATACCCACATGTATTCATAAACTAGTAATATAAACCTAGATTGTAGCATTTAAGTCTAAAATTTGAAAACAGTTTAAATATCCTATAATCTAATCACTTCAAACACAATAAATTCTGTCTATAATAAAAACAAGTTTGATGAAATAAAGAGCTCCACCTAGTTAAGAAATCTCATAAGAAGATGAAGATAGAACAAAATAATGGATATAATATAAAGTTAATTTAATTTTTTTCTGGAGGACAGAATGATCAAATAGTATCATAAGCAAAAAAGAATACCTGAAAATTCCTCAAATGGAAAGATTTAGAAACAATGATGACAATTTTGACAGATCTAGAGGAGAAATCAAAGAGAGAAAATTTAATGATTATTGAATTTCCTGAAAACTATTAGAAAGAAAAGAATCTAATTACTGTATTTCAGAAAACACAAACTAAGTGATAGTTTGATGATATTCCATGTAGAATAATCCAAAATTCAACTCTTCAAGACATAAGAATATCATGCTTCAAGACCATAATTATGTAGAAATGATAATATAGCAGTTCAGATCAAAGATACCATGAATATAATGAACACAGAGACCAATAGAAAGAAATAAATTTATACAAAGTAAATTCAGTAAGAAGAATCAGGAACACAATACACACAATGATCACAACAATGTTTGAAAGAACAAACATAAAATAATTGAAATTGATTGATGTTAAACTATAATGACCAAGTTTGCCCTGAAGAAGAAATCTGAGAAAGTACCTACTAATCTACTCCAAATATGTGGGAACTGTGGGTATGGAATGAGGCTGTTTTTTTTTTTTAAGTTTTTATTCATTTAATTGAATTCCCTCTGTTTCTCTCTCACTTTTATGACAATAGATCACTCTTTGAAAAGGGTAGGAGGAAAAAAAAATGAAAATTTTTTAAAAAAAAAAAGGGTAGGAGGAAGTGTTATCCTGCAAACAGTAAGTGATATAAAAACAAACTATCAAGAAATTTTAGTATAAAAATGAAGACACCCTATTTGAAAAAAAAAAGCCAGTTCCATTTCACATTATTTTTTCCAATTGAAGTAGTTATAGTTGGAGAGGAGAGACTGAAGGTCAGCAGGAATATTCGGACTAAATAAGTAAATCTCAGAATGATCAGCAAAGAGATGATAACTAAAGTAATGGTAATTGATGACATTACCAAATGAAATGGAAGAGAGGAATGAAAAGAGAGGAAATTACAAAAATAAAAAAATGGGATTTATGGGCAACATTTTAGGCAAAAGTTTAGTGTATGATTTGGGGAAAATCTCCAATAATGTCTACTACAATGATCACTTTTGTGTATTAAGAACCATCAGACCTGGGAAGTCTAAGGATTTTCCAAGGGAGATGCAATGCAGACAATAGACTGAGTGTAGGAGCTCTGAGATGATAATACCACACAAAAGCAAAATAGTTAATGACATGTACATCCTGGCTTTCTGGGGTGGCAAATCTTATCCTTAATTACATTCAGAAACAGCAGCAGAAGAATGAATTTGGGAGGACATGGTCTGAAGGGAAGATTATCAGTCTAAGAATAGATGTGAGAAGAGGAATGCTCTGCTTGAGGTTATCTCATGCACACATTGTTCTGTTGCAATCCAACTCTGGCTCTATATATGCTGTCTTCCACTGATAGAATGTAAGCTCCTAGAAGGCAAAGGACTGTTGCAACTTTGTGTTTGCATCGCCATTGCTTTATATTTGTCAAGGTCAGTACTTGGCTCATTCCAAGTGTTTACTTCACCATTTCAATTCATTCTTTTGAACTCTTGGGGCTCACTGACTGTCATGAATTAAAACAATAAAAGACATAGAACTCTACTTCTGCCAAGAAAAAGCCAAGAGAACTTTTCTGAGTCAAATCTGTGGCAAGAAAAAAGGGTAGGCTGAGAGAATTGAGGGAATTAGGACTGCAAATGGTAGTGGGAATGGAGTGAACCACACAGGTTCTGTCTTGTGATGCAATTCTGGAACTAGCTCAGTTCTCTTTCTGTTCAATGATAGGTCTAGTCCAATTTCTGTTTGTAAGAAAACTTTATTGAATTGCAGGAATTGTGAGAGGACTTTCTTGCATTGTTTAAACCTAGTCTTGCATGGCTGGGAAACTGGACCACTGTTGCATAGAAACCCTTAAGTAAGGACCTAGGTTATGCTAACCAGAAGCCCAGTCAGATCCAAAGATTGATGCATGGAGTTTTCTCACAATTATACATCTCAAGTAACTCATGTGTATTATCTGAAAACTAGCTCCATACTGATCAATCAGGTATTGTTTCCATGTTCCTTTGATTGTTTACAGATGCTTGGGGAAAGTGGGACACCTCTTTTTGTAATTTCAGGGAATTGTGCGTATTTACTCTCCCCCTCCCAATTTGGAAGGTCCCTAATCTTTCTTCCAATTAGAAATCAGATTACCAAATTGTGTATACTGGTTAACTGTTTTCTTTTCATTAATTGTTGCTATTTGATTCATTATTTTTAATGCATAAAAATGGGTCTCACCCTGTATTCTGGGTCCAGTGCCAAAGTTGAAGAGGTCTTATTCCAGTTTATTGAGCAAGTGGCATGTATTGCTGAATAAATCAAGATACTTGGAAACTTGTGTGTTTGTTTCCTCTTTCATTTCATCTTTTACCTGCAGCAAGGCAGTGATGGACACAGAGAAGTATGCTTGTCTATGGATACTACCACCCAGGGCTCATTTAGTCCTAAGGGAAGGACAAGCAAGCATACAAGTTCTCTGCAAGGTGTGAATATTGTATCCACTGTTTCCCACTTGTAGTGGTTTTAATTTTTCACAGTAACTGGTGAGCCTTGACATCCACAAAATAAACACCAACTTGCCATGGAGAGCTGGAATTTTGAAATTAAAAATCGGGCATTTATAAAAACTAGCAATATATAGTGCCCCTAATTATACTAACTGCTTATTTCTCACTAGGTTCCAGACATAGATGAAAAAAGAGGGCGGATGAAATAAGCAAGCAGGACAACTCTTTCTTTCCATCATCTAAGCATGTACAGGGAAGGGTAGAGAAAGGAGTTTACTTCTAGTCACATCTCACTAAGTTCAAACAAATCATCACTGTGTGTCTCAGGCATCCCTATACACTCTCCAGTTCACAACTGCTTTTTAGTTCAAGCATATGAAATTTGGTTACTTGCCTTATTCCTGTCAGGATTAGAAGAGTCAGTGGACTGATGATGATTTTCCTCAATCTCTTGTAATGTGAGAATAATTCATAAAGGTTGTTGCCACAGCAATTGTCAACTGACAGGATTTTGATGATAATACTTGAAGATTGTTGGAAATTTCTGAAAAAGTAGAGGATAAAATAAATAAAAGAAAATAAAAATAATCTTTTTCAATAAACTACCAGGCAGAAGCATAAGATACAACCACCTTTTCTCTGAGCTGCTTAGTTCTAGGTGAAGAAGGGTTTTTATTTGTCCAATGAATATCTCAGGGAAAATTTCTCCAAGAAAATTAATGTGAACAGCTTGTTCTTCAGTTCTTCTTCACTTCAGGGCTTGGTCTCCCTGGGAAAGAGGCAATTGCATGGAGTATGTTTGTCTCTAATTAATGACATTCCCATGAGCATTTCTGGTGTCTAGAGAAGAACTGAACTCCTTTGTTGGTAGGGTGAGCAAGAGTCATGTTTAATTGTGTAGGTGGAGGTCCTAGAGTCAGGAAAAATTAGGGAACCCCTCTAGACATTTCTGTGGGGTGTTCCCTCAACTCATTGTTCTCCTTATTTCTTTCACCTTAGGAATGGAGAGTGTTTTCCTACAGAGCATAATATTTCCTGTTCCTTAACACTCTCCTATTCTTTGCTTCATAATTAAGTTCAACTATTTGAGCTTTCCTATCTTTTCTGCTATTATCATAAAAATATTCAAATAAGCCCTATATTTCTTTTTAGATAAACTTATTCAATTCAACATAATTCAGCAAGTATTTGTTAAGCATCAATCCTGTATGAAGACAATAGGGATAAATAGAAGGAGGTAATAAGCTTTTTCTAGCACTCATTATGTCCCAGACAATTTGGTATACTATTTTCAAATATTATCTTATCTAATTCTCACAATAATCTTGTGAGTTAGGTGTTGTCATTATTACTATTTTACAATTGAAGAAGCTGAAGGGGGCAGAAGTCAAGTGATTGAGGACGCCGGTCACATAGGTAGCTAGTCCAAAATTTGTCAGGTCCTCCTGATTTTGAACCCAGCACTATGTCCACTGCCCCATCAGCTACATAAAAACAAAAACAAAATAAACTTTGTCTTCAAAGAGTTTACTTTCTACTAAGGAAAAAGTATATGGCCATAGGTAAATATAAAATAATCCAAGGAGGGGAAGAATACGGTGATCTGGATCTTTGTATGTTGTTCAATAGAGCTTAATTCAACAAGCATTTCTTAAGGGCTTAATATGTGTGATGTTCAGTATTATGTACTAGGGGAGCTAATCAAATCCCTCTTTGGCTCCAATTGATTTATTCTAATGATTCTTGTTAAAAGAGAAGAATAATGGAGAAGTCTTTGGTGTTTTTTTGAACAAACTCAAATAACAGAATTATTGCAATAAAATCAGAGAACAGGAAAGGTTCATAAAAGTGGTCTTGTTCAACCCTCCAAAGTCATGACTATAGTCACCATAATCCTTATATGAGAACAGAACCTTGAAGTAATTTAAAATATAATATGCAAGTTCAACTGGTAATAATGAAGGGTGATGACATAGGCATGGAATGGGAGATTCTATGCACCTGGAGGCAGCCTGTGGAGGATAGACACTGACATCAGCAGTGACAGAAAAC